GCTCCATGGCGGGCCGGGGGGACGTCGGCAGTTTGCGCGACGTGGAAATCGTCTGGTCGCTTAGGATAGCTGTAACGGTACCTTCAAAACGATTGAAAAAAGAAAAAAAAGACATGCTTTCCCCTCCCACCAAATACAGTTTGATTAAATCCAGAAAAGGGTTGATTTCTGTCTGTCACCAGATGTATGTTTCGTAGCCTCCGCTGGTTGACACGGTTGCCCTGAGTTGTCACATTGGTAAGACTGGACTATCCGGAGCTAAAACGCCGTATGTTTATATTCCTGCCTGTGGCCTGCAAGCTTGGGTGCTCATCAAATGGAAATGCACTAGCGTTTTGCAGCTAAGGATGTGTTTTCATAGACAGCTGAGAGTCTGCTGAGAGTGAAGCAAGCTGAGAATGAAATTGTGTTTTACCTCTACTTCCGGGAAGCTCGAGGAATTGACAGAGGAGCTTGGTCTGTCTGTATAAATACACCCAGAGCGTTGCCTCTTAGCAATTCTGCCGTGTCTGGTACGAGTCAGCATCAGTCCCCCTTTCCTATCCGCCCCGGCCCTTAACCGTATAAATTTTTGTTTGTTTGTCTCAGCCGTGCTGTTTAGGTACAGCTTTATTAACAATCTGACCTCCTTCTGTTGCCAGAAAGGGCCTGGCCAACTCCTCTGGCCGGCTGCCTGGCCTTGGCCCCCTGTGCGAGCCCTGGGTCTCGTCTCCCCGCGCGGGCGGAGGATTCGACTCGCTGCCCTGACACGAACCGTTAGCTTTGTCGCCGGGTTAGTTGTCCGCGTCGCTAAGTTGAATCGGCACGGTTCAGTCTCGGTGGCCCGATAAACGTCGGGAGAAGGGTCAAGAGAAGCGGAGAGCGCCGTGGTTGGGGGGAGTGCTGGGAAGGAAGTACGGGGGGGAGCTGGGGCAGCAGCCTTTTGGTGCCCGTTTGTCTCAGTCTAGCTGCGCCCGTTAAGCGTTGTGAAACTGTCCAAAAAACATTGCTGCTCTGCAGCAGTGTAGGCCTTTTCTGTCTTTTCCCGAGTTGTCATGGAGACATGCAAAATAAAAGGAGCTAGGAAATTTGTAAGGAAAAGTGGTGGGGGGGGGATCCTGTTCAGATAATGGTTAGTGAGATTTGAGATATGCTGTGAAAACCTAGGTGGTAGGGATTTTTTTGTTTTTCGGGTTTTTTTTTTTTGTTACCCTTCCCAAACTTACTGCACATGAACTGGCACCAAGTCTATTTGCTCTCTGTTACTCTCTGAGATCATGTCTTCATTTTAGTTGCAGAATTGGCTTATCAAGAGCAATCCATGAAACTGTGCTTATAGCTGAGTGTTTAATACAACTTAAACTGTTTTTATCTAGGTCTCTGTTTTGATTTTAAGCAATACTGGAACCCTCTGTTAGTACATTACTGAACAGTAACTAGCAAAGGCAACAGCAGTTCATTACTAAACTTATTTCTCTTATTTTTAATTAATTTCAGCTATGGCCGAGTCTGGAAGTTTTGCCACATCGCGTTCTAGACGTGAGAAAAAGTGTAGAAGAGGTCAGCAAGAAGCCCTAGAACGTCTGAAAAAAGCCAAAGCTGGTGAAAAAATAAAATATGAGGTGAAAATTGCTCATCTCTTCTTTTTAATAAAAAGTGAATTTGGGGAGTATTACTGTGTAAGCTGACATGCTTAAATACCCTCTATATGTATCTAAAATTACAGGAAGTCAAAATCTGTCTTTCATGTCAGCTTTTTTTTTTTAAATGATATATATATTTCAGAATGTAACTGTAATTGATTTGCTGTTTTCTGACATCACAGATTTGTTTCTTTCTTTTTTCAAAACTAAAGTAATTTTAGTAACTGCACGTCGAACATGCACCATATCACCTGACAGCTATCCCACAGCGAAGGACCAGCCATTGGAATTTCATTGCTTAATTAATAGATGGGAAATACTTTTTTTTTTTTAAACTTAAAATGATTTTAAACTTCAAAAACATTTCATAGCTTTATTTGGCAAAAAGCATTAATATTAATACACTGTGTTTCCACAAAGGAAATGAAATTTGAGTATTTGACTGATATAACTAACATTTGGCAGTGATTGTAACATTGGTGCGGGCCAATTAATTGCACTGCCAAGAGGAAGGAACTTCCGCATTGAGGTGGATAAGTCTGAAGGAGCTTGGAATGTATCAGTCATTAAGATGTAGATTTATTCAGATGCACAGAAGAGCCTCTTCAGCATTATTATTGGGCATATCAAATGATATTTCTTTTCACTGAGCATATCTCAGTGCTTGAGAATGGAGCCAGAGGTCAGAACTCGCCTTTGCTAGGATCTTTCTTTTTTGACGATATGAAATATGCAGTAAGGCAAGTCAGTTTCAAATGAAACCTCTACCAGGGTTTCAGTAGTCTAAGTTTCAATATACTGTGATAATTTTAAAAATTGGGAACAGATCTTTTATCACTGCCAAAAACAAAAAACCCTTCAACCGAATGAATAACTGCATTTGCTGGTTGTGAACAATTTAATGGTGTATGAAACTCTGGAGTTCTCAGGAGGTTCTTACTAATGACCTATATTAATATATATAGTATATTAAGTATTAACAGTTCTCATACCATTACTTAATCGCAGGTTGAGGAGTTCACAGGTGTTTATGATGAAATAGATGAAGAGGAATACTCCAGGATGGTCAGAGAGCGTCAAGACGATGACTGGATCGTTGACGATGGTAAGTTGAGAGTCATTGGGAGAGTGATTTTGATTATAGTGTTACAAACTCAATAGGGTTTCATAATATTTATATTTTGAGGTAAGTTATGCTTCAGTACCTTCCTGTGATTATTTTAGTAGACAAGAAAAAGATGAGCTTTTATATGGAGATAAGTCTTATGCACTGTTCTCGTAAAGATGTGTTAGGATAGTAGTTAAAATATTTTTCCATAAATAGAGAACTAGAAAATAAATTTTCAAAAGCAGTTATTGGTGATGTAACTTGAAAAAAAACCCTACAATTGATAATTTCTAATTAAACATGTAATATATTTACTCTAATAAGATATAGCTAAGAGTGCTGTGGTTTTTAACACTTGTACTGATAACATTCATTTTCAAATAAAGTAAAAAATAAGTTTTTAAGTCTGTGATACTTTGAATTATGAAGCTATTGTTTAGAAATGTCACCAGGCAGAGTCAGAAATGTAAATTTTTAACAATTATTTTTGTGCAGGTGGTATAGGCTACGTAGAAGATGGAAGGGAAATCTTTGATGAAGATCTGGATGACGATGCTCTTGGTTCCAGTAAAAAAGGTAGGTGGAACATAACCACCGTAGAAAGTCTTCTAACTGCTTATAAAAGGCACTTAAAACGGGCAACTTCTTGGTATCAGTATGTGGTGAATATGGCTAAATGACGTGTTAACTTGAAGCTCTATAGTTCCGTGCCTGTGACTGGATATTGTCCAGCCTTCATGGTGGAGGTGATTTGACCTCAGTCTGTGGTAGCTTTAGCCCCACCAGGGCAATTTTGCTTACAGTGCGCTGTGGGTTGTGTACTCTCTTCTAGGATAAATGATTCTGGGGAATGTTCTTGGCTTCCAAAGCTGGTGCCTACAGGATGGATGGTCTTTTTTGCCCCTGAAATACTTACATGCTTTTATGGGTCTGGGATCAAATGATTTTGCCAACTTCTGTAATTCAGTGGCAGTCTGAGGAATTGAGTCTGATGTTGAGAATCCAAGTGTAGTGCCAAACACCTGGATACTCTTTCCTTTCTGCACGTGCTTTCATGTGAAATATCTTTGTCCTTTAGCTGGGGTATGGACATGGATGTGCAAGGATCGCCTCTGAGGTGATGAGGCAAGATATGATGCTGATAGGTTTTTGCATTTTTTTTTTTTTTTAGTGCAGAGCAGCCATGAGAAAGCTGGCAACAAACAAAAGATCATTAGGCTTCATTTAAGCTGCTTCTCCACCTTTACACTGCAGGCTGATCTCAGCTGTCTATCTCTGCTAATAACAGGACCTATAAACATCTAATTTCTTTATGCATAAATCACAAATTTACACATAAATCACTTCTTCTGTAGGAAAAGGTAGCAGAACATCTGCAGTTGATAAAAAGAATGTGAAGAAGCCTGTGGTGTCAAAGCCAAACACGATTAAGTCTATGTTCATAGCCAGTGCTGGGAAGAAAAATACAGATGTAAGTTGCTGCATTTTTTTAATTTATAAGATTTTTAACTTGTTTGCACTATTTGATTTAGTGGGAGTGAAGCAAAAGTTTATTGCGGTTGCTTGTGTACAGCAACACATAAACTCCTGTTAGGAGCTGTTGTGTGTGGAGGACTCCAGAAAATCTTGTGTGCTCTGTAGAAGCCCTTTAGTCATTTGCTGCCAGTCTCCTGGTTGGGTGTGCACAGATAACTAAGAACTGTTTGGCTAATCTGTTATTTTACAGAAAACTGTGGACCTGTCGAAGGATGATTTACTAGGGGATATTCTTCAAGATCTAAATGCAGAAGTAAGTACATTTTTGAAAAATTTTGAAACATTTTAACCTATTCATTTTTCTTGCTTGGTTGCTTGGAATAGATAAAGAAAACAAAAGTCTTCCTATGGCTGGACCATCTAAGACTTGATTTAATCTATAGCACATCTGCTTAATATAGTCCATGTGTGTATGCAGTGGACTTGTCTGTTCTTTCCTACCTGCAGAAGTTGCATGACTACATTAGTTTGATAAGCCAACACTACTATGTCCTGATTAGAGACGGTTTATACTAACGTGATATTGAGCCTATGCTAATGCAGTCTTCTAGCTTCCTGCCGTCTTGGAGTGAAACAGGACTTAGTTGCATCTGCCCAGAGTATACCGTATATGTGCATATCCAGTTGCTGTGCTCCAGTGATGCGCGGTTGGGGTCCCCAGAGGAGACAGGGCTATTCAAGCAGATGATGTAGCCAGAGCTTCTGCCTGCCTCTTCCTGCTTTCCGTGGTTTGCTACAGAGAACCCAGTTAATGCGTTCTCTGAGTTAGGACAACAGGATGGCTGCCACCATACCCAAGGTTGGGCTGTCTCAAACGAGGCTGTTCCCAGTTCTTCTTTCAAACTGTTTACCAAAAAGTCTGGTGGCTTCTTTCATGGTCTGATTGCTCAGGTAACTTTTTTTTCTTTTTAAGTGATTGAGTTGTATATCAGGAGTTTTCTTTACTTGACAAGATTCTTCCGCACATGCTTGAAGTGGGAATCGCCCTTTCTCTAGCGATTTTCATTGTGTCTCAGATGCGTCTGCAGTATTTTTTAATGCATTAAGTAGTGGTAGTTCATGAAATCTGGATGTTAGTTTGGAAAATGAGATGTGTTGGTTGTTTTCTTTCTCTTTGTTGAAAATGTTACAAACCAAGGTAAGAACCCAGCAACCCATCTCTATTATGTCACTATCTCTTTTCTTTCAATACTCAGACTGTTCAGCTAAGTCCACCACCAGTTATAATGCTGAAAAGAAAAAGATCTGCTGGAGCGCCACTGAATCCTTTCTCTGTACCATCTCGGACTCCTAAGGTAAAGTGAAAAATGGAAAAAGTCCTTGTTACTAAGTCTTACCTATATTTTCATTATGTGAGATACTCTTGTCTTTTTTTTTTTTTTACTTCTATAAATTACGTTTATCATTAGCTTCCTTAGTAGTGCTGCTGTATAACTTCATGTATTTTCCCTTCCCCCTCCATATTAATGCATTAAAAAATACAACTCTCATTTTGTATCTTTAGTATAATAGTAGTATGTAGGCTGACTGTTATACTTGGCAGGTGTATTCATGTTGGGTGCGTTGCATGAAGGTGAGTTAGGAAAAAGAGACAAGGCAGAAAGATAAAAAGATCTATGTGGCAAGGAATGGAGAATGGAAGATGAAAAGTGGAGAAAAGAATGTTTGTGGGTGTGGAAAAGGATAACGACCTCCTCTTTTGCAGAATTGGGATGCTGATAGAAAATTGAAGCTATGGATAGAAATTGACTCTAGTGAAAGATTTTGAAGTGGTAGGCTGCTAAGAATGGAAGACTGATTTGATAAGAGTTCTTACTCCCTCTGAGTAAGAAGTCCAGCAAAGTGGGCAGGAGACCTGCATGGTTGAGCAAGGAACTCCTGGCAGAACTCCAGCAGAAGAAAGAAGTCTACAGAATGTGGAAAACGGGACAGAGGCTACTTGGGAGGAATTTGGGAATATTGTCAGAGTATGCAGGGATGCAACAAGGAAGGCTAAGGCTCATTTGGAATTAAATCTGGCAAGGGATGTCAAGGACAACCAGAAGGGCTTCTGCAAATACATCAATATCAAAAGGAAGACTAAGGAAAATGTTGGCCGGTGGCTGAATGGGGTGGGTGCACACTGTATCCTGTACTTCTGTATATACTTCTTGATACTTCTCTGTATCCTGGTAACAAAGGATATAGAGAAGGCAGAGTTATTGAATGCTGCCTTTGCTTCAGTCTTCACTGCTAAGGCCAGTCCTCAGGAATTCCAGACCCTGGAGAGAAGACAGAAAGTCTAGAGAAAGGAAGACTCTCCCTTGGTCGAGAGGGATCGGATTAGAGATCATTTGTGCAAACTTGGCATCCACAAATCCATGGGCCCCGATGGGATGCACCCACGAGTGCTGAGGGAGCTGGCGGATGTTATTGCTAGGCCACTCTCCATCATCTTGGAAAGGTCCTGGAGATCAGGAGAGGTGCCTGAGGACTGGAAAAAAGTCAGTGTCACTCCAGTCTTCAAAAAGGACAAGAAGGAAGAGCCAGGAAACTACAGGCCTGTCAGCCTCACCTCCATCCCTGGAAAGGTGGTGGAACAGCTCATCCTGGAGGTCATCTCTAAGCATGTGGAGGACAAGAAGGTGATCAGGAGTAGTCAGCATGTATTTATGAAAGGGAAATCGTGCTTGACCAATCTGATAGCTTTTTATGATGGGATGACCGGCTGGGTAGATGAGGGGAGAGCAGAGGATGTTGTCTCCCTGGACTTCAGCAAGGCTTTTGACACTGTCTCCCATCACATCCTCCTAGGCAAGCTCAGGAAGAGTGGGCTAGATGAGCGGAGAGTGAGGTGGATTGAGAACTGGCTGGATGGC